CTGTAAAGTGGCTCACATTTAGCTTCAAACAACGTTTAAAAAAATGGTGTGAATGTGTTAAAGTCACTTTTTTACCACATTTACAGCAATATTTGAAACATGTTAAATATAATGTCACAGTTAAATCTGAATATTAAATCTAAATCTAAATATTAAACCTAAACGTGCTTTGTGAAACTAAATATTTAGCTAATATGCAAATGCACACTGCCAGTTGCAGGAAGTACCAAAAGAAAAGCCCGGGTGGTCAGACTGTGTTTATAGCATCAAATAATGAATTAAAAACAAACTAATGGGAGAAAATGAACACTTGAACAAACATCAGCGTGATAAGAACTACCTAAAATGACAGAAACCAGGTTTGGGAATATTTCATTTGACGCCACTGACATTTTACTGACTTGCAGTCACAAACCCTTTTAGTACCATTTCATCACACGTGATATGAAGCAGCCTCCTTCATTCATGGTTCTGATGATGTCGCTCATGAACGCACTCGTGACTGGATGGGAAAATCCAGAGTGGACTGAACTAGTTGATAACCAGCTTTGTAGTACCAGTTATGAGACAGAGACCATCTTTTAATCCCCCTTACTGGTATTTGTGTTGATTTCACTATCAATGTTTTTCTTTTCTCCCAGCAGCTCCAGCCTCTGCTTATTTGCTCATTTGGTTTATTTTGACTTCATGTCTCTGTCCTTGTTTCCCATAATGCATCTTTTTATTAGCCCCCATCCATCCACCAGATGCCCCCAGTCTTTCCCACCAGTCCCCTGTCTCTTCCTCACCTGCTCACCTGTCCCCAGTGTCCCTAATCAGCCCCTTAATTAAATTAATATGTATATGTTTTTAAGGTTTCAACATATTTAACTGACACACAAAAACATATAAATAGCCAAAATATTTTCATAAAATGTCTCATAAAACCTTTTCCCTGCAGCTGACCTCTGATTATAATCAAAAGCCAGCTGCAGGGGGAAAAGTTTGTGGAGAGTTGGTGGTTATTGTGATCGTGAGCATTGGCGAGTTGGAAATCAAAAATCAATAACTGACATGGATCGGAGAAGGCGTCTTGGTGCNCATATAAAACAAACTATCTGAACAGTAACTATAGCTATCAAATAAATGTAGCTTGAGTAGAATGTACAGTATTTCCCTCTAAGTAAATGGAAATACCCAAAGTACAAGTACATCAGATTTGTACTTAAGTACAGTAGCTACTTGAGTAAATATACTTAGTTACTGTCCATCACTGCATTTGTCTCATCATTTTGCTTTCTGTCTATATTTTTATGGAGACTTGGTTCACCTAGAACAAACAACAGCAGTTTAATATTCAGTCTGACATTTTACTGAAGTGTTGAGTTGTAGATTGTGGTGCTGTTGAACTGTACTGGATTACACTGACAGCAGTTTCTCATTTAGTCTGTCCTCACCAATATAAATGGATCAAACAGGTCAGAAGTGAAGAGGAAAAGTTTATTCAGCCACACTTCAGACATCAGGTATACAATTCATATCAGATGATCAATATTTAAAATGCTGTTGAATAAATACTACAAGAAATACAATTAATCTTTAAATACAATAAATTAATTACAATAAATAATTAAAATCATTATTGAATGGTAAAGACACATATAGGCCTAAATAAGCAAAAGAATGCAAAGAACAATAACATGTTACAACATTAAATAATATAATAATATATCTTATACTGAGACTGAATGTTGCCCATTAGACATTCCCCAAACGGATTACATCTCATATTTAACCACTACAGAGATATCAGTGATGAATTTAAAAGGACTACTTGAGAGAGGCTGCTCTCAGTGGGGCAGCCTGAGCGCTCATACACACGTTTATTATCTATGAGCGCTGACACCGCTGTCATCTAGCGGACCTCAGTCACATTCAACTGGGCTCTATATTAAAACATCGACCACGGGTCTGACGTTTAAACTACGCGTGAAAAGAACTACGTTATGTGACAACACAACAGTCACATATTGGTAATTATGGCTTACAATTGTGCGCCTTTCCTTTCTGATGCATCCCCTGTAAAAGGGGCATGGCGAGAACACATCCAGTACTTGGGCTGTGACTGATGACGTGTCACAAGTCCACAAGAACACAAGTTCGCACATTGAGAAACGGCTACGGACGAAATGAACGCGGAGCACAGACAGACGGCTCTGTCTCTATCCAGATCCGTATTTAATGTTGAGCATAAATGGGCCTTTAGGGGCAGGTCTGCTGCTGGCAATATAGGTGCCCTTTCTTTGTGGTGCCAAGTTCCACCCCAACACACACACACACACACACACACACACACACACACACACACACCTTCTTTAAAAAACAAACAAAAGAATACTGCGGACCTATTCACATCTAGCCCAGAGGTAACCACCCAATATTAATACCAGTGTTAACAACTCAGAGCTTTTCTTTTGAGCATACATACAATGAAATAATGACCGTAAATAACAGACAGTAAAAAATAACAGCCAGCTGTAACAGACACAAATAAAACAGTAACTGTACATCTGAGTTTAAAGGGCATATTACAAAAAAAAAGTAAACGCTCTGCATGTTAGAATTAGGCGGCACGGAGGTGCAGTGGTTAGCACTGTCACCTCACAGCAAGAGGGTTCCCTCTGTGTGGAGTTGGCATGTTCTCCCCGTGTCAACGTAGGTTTTCGGCTGGGAATAAAAAACTCCCCAAAGGATCCAGCACTGCTGCTGCTGCTACTGCTGCTACTGCTGGTGCTGCTGTCAGTACCAGGAGACAGTGTAGCACGATCCGTCCCCAACTCTCTGGTTGTGGTGCACTTGTTGGGTTTGGTCTCACAGGTTTGGGCGAAGCCTTTGCTGCTGTAAAGAGACCAAACAAATCTGTGTCATTCCTATGAAGAAATAACATTTCAATAAAAACGACCATCTTGCTATAGGATCACACCAGCCGCAACACTGTGATTTGCAACTTAAAACAAGTGGCATGAAGTGGGGGGCCAGTGGCCCCTTCTCTACTTCCTACCCCCCTATTTCTGTCCCCCTTGCTCAGACCACAGCCCTCTATGAATTTGGCTTTAATTTTGATCTCAACTACACACCTGTAAAGTTTTGTGACTGTGTCTTGCACAGTTGTGATGCTATCACGTTGACAAAATCAGTCCCATATCTTCAGTAGCTAGCTAGCTAACCCTACACTTTTCAGGGTTTGATTCTGGTTTTGGAACAGAGATGAAATTTATATCTTTTTCCAACTTCTCCAGGTAACGAGTATCATTAATACACTACGTGCCCCAGGCACAACATTTAGCTCCAAATCCACAAAACCAGCCTGACAATGAAGGAAATCTGAAACGACTGCATTAGAGTCAATGGAGCACAGCTGTGTTGTTGTTGGACCCTGGTCTGAGCCGGCCTGATGCTACTTCTCTTACTGAATGAAGGGTCAATGGGTGTTATCAAGACTGGATGTCAATATTTATCAAGACCAGATACTACAAGAAGGAAGTATACAGATTGTGGATTGCAGAGGTCCACAATATTTTTCTCCTCAGGTTCTTTTTTATCCAGAAAAGCTGCAGAATTGAATCTGCTAAGACAGATCTACTGAGTTTACTTACCAGTGACAGTGAGCCGACATGTAGCAGTGCTGCTGCCATAATTTGTGAACACTTCACACATATACTGGCCTGAGTCATCAGTCCTGAGTCTGGACACATGAAGTCTGAGTCGTCCCTCTCTGAGGACGTCTTTGTCACACTGGACTCGTCCTGTAAACTGTTCATCCTGAGACTCTGGGACCTCAACACCTTCATGTAGATGAAACAGGACTGAGGCTCTGAGATCAGTTAACAGTTCACAGTAGATCAAAAGGGGCTTGAGGGAGCTGCCAGGTTTGGTGGTGAACATCCACTCCAGTGTGATGTTGTGGTTCTCCTCTGCCTGATAGGAGGTCTGTGTCACATTGACTACAGATGTTCCTGTTGAGGAGACAGAGAGGGAAAGTGAGGAGCAGACAAAGTGACAACTTTAACATGTGAGCCTTTAAACTCCATCTACAGATGTTTGTGTGGAGAGTTTGACTGATTCACTGAATAACAGTGTGCTCTTATTTAGAACAAAGCTGGAAGGTCGGGAAACATGAGAGCTCAGAGTTGCTGCAGCTAAGAGGTGATGCATGAAACCAATAATTAACTAGAAAGGCACTCGGACAGACTTCCTCCGAGACCAATAGTCCAGTCTTCTATGATATGAAAAGCCTCAAGTACAACCACTATACATGTCTGGATATATTTCCCACACCATTAGAATGATGTCAATGATGTATTGTATGTATGGACTATAACATTTTTAACCACTAGCTGGTGGTCTGTGTATGGTCTATGTATAGTAACACTGGTCACAGGTGATATGAAGCAGGTGTTATAAGGTCACGGGGGAGGACGAAGTCTTTCTGAACACAGCCCACCCGACTAACAACATCATTAAGTTTGCGGATGACACAGTTGTAGTTGGACTCATAACAGGGGGAGACGAGTCCAATTACAGAGACGAGATCCAAAGACTGTCGAGGTGGTGCGGCACAAATAACCTGGAACTAAACACAACCAAAACAAAAGAACTCATCCTGGACTTTAGGAGAAAACACAAGGCAGACCCATCACCACTGTGGATTAATGGAGCATGTGTGGAGCAGGTTCACTCTTTCAAGTACCTGGGGCTCCACATATCCAACAACATCTCCTGGAACATCAGCACCACAGAAATAACCAAGAAGGCACAGCAGCGTCTCCATTTCCTCAGGCTGCTGAGGAGGAACAACCTGGAGGAGAAGCTGCTTGTGGCCTTCTACCGGTCAGCCATTGAAAGCATCATAACATACAACATTACAGTCTGGTACGCAGGCAGCACAGCTGCGGAGAGACACTCACTACAACGCATCATGTGCACAGCTGAAAAGGTCATCGGCTGCTCACTTCCCTCATTAAACGACATCGCCACTGCTCGCTACCTCAAAAGAGCTTCCACTATCTCAAAAGACTGCACTCACCCTGGCCATAACCTGTTTCAGCTGCTGCCCTCAGGCAGGCGCTGTCGGTCCATCAAAACACACACATCCAGATTTAGAAACAGTTTCTTCCCCCAGGCCATTACTGTGATAAACTCTCACTGACTTTCTTTCTTGTTCTGTTTTTTTCTCTGTCTCCACTTTATTGCTATTTGCACTGGACTACTGCTGATAGATGCAGTATTGCACTATGGACTCTATTTTAATGTGGAATGTGTGTCTATGAGTGATACTTTTTTAGTGTGGAGTTGTTGTTGTGCACCATTAGGAGCAGCATGTCCAATTTCGTTGTATCTGGTATACAATGACAATGAAGGTTTCTATTCATATTGTTCTTACCCTAAGCAGGGCACGGCATGAACATGGCATCTAGATCGCTTCACGTTCATCTCAGTAAGTCATCACGTTAATCTACTTATGTCTGTATCATCATGCTGCAATTAATGGGAACATCACCCAACCAAAGATGCTTTTTTGTTT